TAAAGTGTAGTTTGGTGGATCTCATCTCATCTGAATTGAGAATTGGGAACAAGTGTCTGACAGGCAATGGGTGCACATGGGGATAGTGGAAGGGACTACACTATATTTTCTTGGCATTTCAGGACCCACAGTCCTCACAGGCATAGAGGCCTATCGAGCTGGGTCTCTCCAGAGTTGCATTGCTGATCTGCGGGGGCCTTGCAGTGCTATATATATTTAATTATAATTATAATTTAAAATTTGTCTTTTCCTTTGCATATATATGAAAAAGAAAAAATGTACTTTATATAACAAACCAAACCTACAACTAATTAACTGGAGTCTCATTTTTATTGTTCACAGGAGACCAAAATCAACTGTGTCCGTCTGGCTACCAAAGGTATGTTGGCATATCTTTGTCTGTCTTCAGCCATATAAGTATTTCTCTCTAAGCACATAGGGAAAGTTTAGACAACGATGACTAAAAACAACATTGATGAATTGTTATTTTCACTGCAGTCATTTGTATCTAAACCAAAAACCTCGGATACAGATTCACAGCACAGTGCCTGAAGCATATAGTAAGAGCTCAAAACATATTTGTTGGATGGATCGATAGATAGATGGATGGATGGGAGGACAGAGTAGTACAGTAATCAGTGCAATGATGAAGGTAAAATTTGCTCAGATTTTCTTCTATATATTTTCAGTGTACTTGAGTCTATGTTTATGTGTGTATTTTTCTTTAAGTATGTCCATTAGACCCATCTTCTGGGTTTTGTACTTTACTCAATTGGTACATGGCTTTCAAAAGTGAAGTGATTAGTGCTGGTGCTTTTAATAATGAGAAAACAAACACTACATTGTTATGTAGTTGGCATTTCAACACTTATCCCAAAAACTAAGGCAGCATTGTTCAGGCTCATCACTTTTGTTTTCCTAATTATAATTGAATTGCCTGGCTCTTTCAATTGGTACATGTTTATGCCTATTACTCTTTTAAAAAAGAAATCAATGACTGGTTTGTTATCATTTAACCTATTACAAGGTTGAATGGTCAGAAATCAGGTTTATCTTTTTGTTACAGAATTTATTTCACAGCTACTCCACATATACTCACCAAAACTGGGAGATTCTATTCTGTTCCCTGCATTTATTAACAGCATACATAATTTCATAGTTTGCTTCCAGTGAGGAGCTTAAAATTATAAATATAGTAGACATATAATCATAAATATAAATTATCACACACACACACAAAATAGCCCACTGCCATTTTGTCAATTCCGAGTCATAGTGACCCCCATTGGGTTTCCAAGGCTGCAAAATTTTGTGGAAGTAGATTGCCTCATCTTCCTCCCATGAGTAGTTGGTGGGCTTGAACCACTGACCTTCTGGTTGGCAGCCAAATGTCTTACCCACTATGCCACCATAGCTCCTTCATGGACAAAGGCAATTACCTAAGTATGTGAATACACACACACACACACACACACATGAAGAGACACACAGGAAAACATACACCTATGGGAGATGGAGAAAGATAATATGCACCAAGACTTTATCACATGTAACTTCTGTAACGGAAAAGAATCACGTCAATATGTAGGCACCAAAGGGAAACCACAGGAGGAGGAAGAAGACGAAAACACCAAGGGCTCATGATGACTAAGAACCCACCCTGGTTTCACATAAGTCATGCATGGTGGGCATGTCCCTCATTTATTCCCTCTCAGGAACTCAGGCTACTGGAAGGAAAGAGATAAAATACTCTTTGTGAGGGAAGAAGGATTGATGGCCTGCAAACAAAAGTGACACAAATCACAGACCTTCACAGACTTTTCCACTGAAGAAAACAGATAATCTAGAAGGAAGAACGCCATCAATTGGGTAGCACCAAGCTCTGGACAGCAAGCAGGACAGCTGGGTGATTGCAGTATCCACTTAGACTGATAGCAGGGAGAGGGAAGGGACACTTCATAGTGTGGACACTTCCACTGATACCTTCTTCACCATGACTCCAGTCTGGCTTTTGACCTCTAGACAGGGATAAGTTAATATGATTGCTCTGCCCTCCACGGGGAACTTGGGCATCTAGGGACACCCTCTGGGACATAAGCCCACCTAAACTGTAGTTTGGTGGATCTCATCTCATCTGAATCAGAAATTGGGAACAAGTGTCCTGACAGGCAATGGGTGCACATGGGGATAGTGGAAGGGACTACACTATATTTTCTTGGCATTTCAGGACCCACAGTCCTCACAGGCATAGAGGCCCATTGAGCTAGGTCTCTCCAGAGTTGCATTGCTGATCTGCAGGGGCCTTGCAGTGCTATTGAAAGCACTGGAGCAGAACAGCCCTCTAATTGACTTTAGGACAAGAATCCTCCTCTTATTTGACATGGAGGTCACAGGCTTTCTTCAGGTGGAGTTTCTGAATGAGCAAGGATGCGTGTGGGCATGGGAAAGGGCTTGAGTGCATGACGACTATGAATGTACAGCTGGACAGACCCAGGCAGGGCGCTGAGGGCCCAGGCCACTGGAGATTCCACCCATCCATATTTGTGCTTTTCCAGTTCAGTGAGGCCCATCACCTTGGCCTGGAGATAGGAGATTCCAGCAGCACCTGTGAATGGGGCAGACAGCTGGATAATCCATAACGCCAATCTAGCACAGTTCAGGAGTTAGCCCTCTCAGCACACCCTTAGAGGAAAAGGATGCTTGGTGAATGCAGAAATTGGCCAAAGGGAAGGAAACCTGTGTTTGATCAGTGTCTACTCTGTGCCACGCACTAGCCTTGGAGATTAAAGGCAAAGCCTGCCTGAAGTCATGTGTCACCCATGAAGAGTTCCTATCAAGCATTTAAGGCCAGGAATCAATATTTCATCTTTCTCATCCCCTTTTGACTACCTGGATCAAGTTTACCTCTTTGACGGTTTGGCAAAAACAGTATTCCTTTTGTTTAACCAGAGGAAGCCATGATATGGAACCGCACAGGCATGGGGGTATATAAACTCCCAAATTCCACAGACGTTCAGCTCCTCTCCAAACTCCTCCACCTCTTTGCCGTCATGTTATCTCCTCCATGGGCTGCCACCTGGCATCCAGCTCCTGGGGTGTGATCATGTATGCAGCATCAAGGACAGGGCTCTTGGGTGAGTCCTGTCCCTAGAGACTCAAGCCAGTTTCTGTGGTCACCCTGTGTGTATTCTGAAGAGCTGTATGATCCAAATTTGGCTCCTGTTCCAGTCAGAGACTGCCTCAGGCCAGGGAGCTGAGCTTAAATGTTCTGTATAAGGTACCCTATGTAGGTGAACTCATTGGGTATACCCTGGCACATCAGATTCTGGGTGTGTGGCAGCAAGACCATTTTCACACGGTTTCCATGGTGGTGGAGCAGCAGCTGCTATTCCAATCTTGGTCCTGGAGAAAGGATAGGGCCAGGCCTCCTGGGAGCAGGCCCCACCACTGCCCTCTGGGAAGAGCTATGGCTCAGGAACCACTTTGTCTTATAACCAATTGTCGTCATGTCAACCCTGACTCATGGTGACCCCATGTGTATTCACTATTTTCAATGGCTGATTTTTGAAATGTAACTCACCAGGCCTTTCTTCCAAGGTGCTCAAGGTAGACTCGAACCTCCAACCTTCTAGTTAGCAGTCAAGCATGCTAACCATTTCCACTACCCAGGGACTCCTTACTTTGTCTTAACTAGCCACTAGTTTCACAATCAGATTTTGCCATCACAGGAAGTTCCTAACACAAAGCTGGCACTCAGTAAGTATTTGCTGATGAGTAATTGTCTTTGGAGTCAGCATCACACTGCAGTGAGTGTCTCACTCAGGATCTCATCTACCCATTCATGAAATGCTTTTGAACACACCTACCACTAATGGTCTGCTGATAAAGCCCTCTTCAAGAACCAATGCCCAGTTCTACTCAAGTCCCCTAACCCACTGTTTGCCTTGTCTAATTTTCCCTGCTGCCTCGCCACATGTATGCATGGGTTCACTTTGCTACTCCATCTTGCACACAGGCTCTGCTCACACCAGATTGGCCTGCATGATCTGGTCCCTCCGTTTTCCCCTAGCCTCATCCAGGCTTCTATCCCCTTATTCTCTATATTCCAGCACATGGGTCTTTTTTTAATTCTTCAAACATGTCAAGTTCTTTCCAACTTCAGGGTCTTTGCTCATCCTTCCCCTCTATTGGGAATGTTCTGACTGCCACATGTGTCTCCCTACCAGATATACAGACTGCAACTGAAAACGTACTTCCTCAGAAAGACCTATCCCGATCTGCAATTCATGTATATCCCTAACTCTTTGTCTCTTGTTATACCCTCTACTTTTTTTCCTAGTGTGCTTTACAACTTACAAATATATATGTTTTAATTTGTCTGAATATTTAGTATTTATCTCCCTGCTAGACTCTAAGTGACTTTAGTGCAAGGATTATGCCTATTTTGAACTCTGTGTATCCTCAAATTCTAGCATTCATTGGATTTCAATGAATATATGTTAAATGAACCATGGATGGATGGATGGATGGATGGATGGCTAACAGATCATTCTTCCATGGCCTCCTTTTGTCCAGTGTAAGCTGAATATGCATGTCAGCACTGTTCCCTAAAAGGGTCAGAGTAAAAGTGGTAGAAGTGTCTAGTAAACACTCTGTAATGATCCTATTAAAATAACCCCCTTGGAGTAGGTGTTGAAAGTTGAAGTCTAGTATAATGAAGTGTGAGAGAAGGGGCCAGTGTCACCAATAGTTTCACGTGGCCCAGTAGTAATGGGCTAAACCCACAGCGGGTCAGCTGTATGATCCCTGTTAATGGAAAGGCCAGCCAGTTCCTGCTTGCATACCTGCTCTGACAAGGGCCTTACTACTCCCCCTAGAGGTGCCTCCTACCTTTGGACATTTTGGTTGGAAAAAGCATCAGTATCTTGAATGTAAATTGACTCCCCATCATTTCTGCCCACCCATCTTTGAAGTCACATAGATCATATCTTCATTTTTACCTTCCAGAAAATAAAACTTTCTTCCTCTGATCTGCCCGTACCCTCAGTTAGGGTTAGGTAGGCACATGTTTGTCTGTCTTCCTCCTGTTGGGAATGCTCTGGTTGCCAGCAGCAGCAGCACTTCCATCTCTGGCGCCAGCCGCCAAGGGAACACAGCTGGTTCTGGAGGCTCCCGCTGGGTGCACCCGAGTGGCAGTTAGAAAAATCAGCTTTGATTTGATTTGCAAACTGAGCTGAGTCATTGAGACAAAATAAATTCGAAAACCCATAAAGCCATTTGCAGAGTTGCTTTGCAGAAGACAGCCACAGTTTTAATCTAGTAAACACTCTGTAACGATCCTATTAAAACAACCCCCTTGGAGTAGGTGTTGAAAGTTGA